AAATAAATATTCAAATAAATATATTTTGTAGAAGAAAGAGGAAGCGTAACTTGAATTCAATGTAGATACTTACTCATCACTTATAGTGATGATTTCAAGTTTCGTTCTACAAAGTAAAATGTGTAAATTCAAAAATTGAAATGATAGATGGGTATGTTAAAAGTATAAGAAAAAAAGTATGCATAAAATACTAACGGGTTCCTGATGGGTGCATTTGGCGGTTCGCTGAAAAAAACAAATCAACAAACAAATAATATAATTTAAAAAAAATCACTCCTAAAAGGAATTTCTTTACATAATTTTTTGTTCTTTCTTTTTTTTTTTTTTAAAGATCACTGACCCTACACCGGTACGTCTTCTCTTGGGTGTACTATGTATAAATTAATATATATATATATATATATATATATATATATATATATACACATTGTATATATATATATATATATATATATATATATATATATATATATATATATATATAATGAAAATTATTTTAAATAAATAAAAACACAAAGACCGAGTATATATATCGAATAGATATAATAGATATATATATAGATATATATATATATAGATATATTTATGCATACGTAATAGTTTATTTAAATTTTAGAATTTAAAAAAACAAACAAACAAACAATATATATATATATATATATATATATATATATATATATATATATATATATATATATATACTGACGGTACACTTACTTTAGAGGAGTGCTGTAATGTAATGTGAAACATATATTAATTATATGGACTCGCAGTCATTTTTTTTTTAAGAAAAAGAATTGTTGTGTAACACTCTTATGAATATATCATACATTTCTATTGTCAAAATGTGTTCATCAAAAATCATATACCTCGTCATTCTCTTCTCGCCTACTGCTTCATCCACATCTTCTATTCTATATATAAAAACAATAGGGGTGCAATTAAAGGAAAACATACAACTGACCTGTTACGGATAATTTTCAAGTTCCATAATAAATCCTAGTACTCACGGACAGGGTATCGCCCCTACGATGTCGATAGCTTTTGTCAGATTTCTAATGACTTTTTTCAAGTCATCGCAAATACACCTGCTTTAAAATATGAAAAAAAGAGAAAAAATCACAAAATTTTAAAGAAATGATCTGCGCCTTATGTAATGTGTGTAAAGCATTAAAATCAACATACTTTGCCATGGTACCCGCAAGAGTAAAATTTTAGGTGTTTCCTCTTTTTTTTATACCGATTTCCTATGTGATTTTTTGGAGGTATATCATTGGAAAATATTAAAAAAAAAAGCAATAACTTAAGATTTTAAAAAACTGATTTTCAACTGAAATGGAAAAATTCAATTAATTTAACCTAATTTTTAGTCAAATCTCACACCTTAAAAATTATCTAGGTCTCACAAAAACAGGTCGGAAGATCACGAGTGAAATGCGGGTTCTACATTGTTATCAATAATTATGTCTCTCATCCCCCCTCCTCAAATATTTGTCTTCTGTCAATGTAAAATGTCAAAGTGTACATTGCATGAGGGTCAGCCTATACACACATATATAAACATTTTTTTTTTTTCACTTAAACCTATCAGATCGACGTATATTGGATAATCGTACAGAAATTCTTAACAAAAAAAAATGTTTTGTTTTATATTTTGTATACGATTATAAATTTCTCCTTTGGATGTGAACTGACCCCTACTTGCGAATACCCTTTCATGGGGTGGGTCAGATGTTCAGGAGAAACTATCTGTATTTTAAATCTTGAATATGATCAAGTAGAAGTGGATTGCTTCATCAAGGAAATAAAACCCTCGGATATCGTCATTAAACGCTTATTTATCGATGGGGAGTGTGGACCAATCATCAATTATGAACGTTTTTGTAATTCATATTTCATAAAGGAGATTATCATGGAAAATTACCAGGGTCAAGTTCGATGTCGAGGTAAAATAAAACTTTTCTTTCTCTCATTTCTCTCTCTCTCTCTCTTTTAATCACCCCCCTTCTAGTGATTCGTTTACTCACCCATGGGAAAAAAGCGGCGCGGCTTTGAAGTTAAAAGCTGACGTTGCTAAAAATCGCTGATTTTGTCACTCATGGCTCGTTCTTTCAACGGAAAAGACGTGATTTGTCCAGGTACATGACCAAAACAAATTTAGGAAGATTTTTTGCGATAACGGAGTTACATTCCAGTATCTTAAAGTGATATTTGAATTTATTATTTCTTTTATTTATAGAGGTTACGCAGTACAGTTAAGGTGCGCAATGGAAATATCGGAAAATTTTGCCACTGAAAATATATACTTAATCAGGATGGCGATTCTTTTCAGTACTTTATTGATATCCGACAAATGTAATTATGGTTAATAACTACATATTGAGGACGATAAGATTTTATATTTAGACTTGTCACGTGATGCGGCAGGCACGTGATATAGCACATATACTTGCAGTATTGAGGTCACCTATAAATTTCACTAGTGCAAGGACATAATCAAGTTAAAATTCTAAATTTAGAGTATAAATATTTTCAACACGCATCGTAGTTTCTGAAAAATGCTGCGATCCTCTATAGATTCTGCTATTTCATTGTTAAAATCAAATTTATATGACCACATTCTGTATTTTTTGCTGGTCAACGGCATTAAATATAGATATAATTAATTCATTTTCAAGATTTCACCAGGATCGCAGCACTTTTCAGATACCTTAATACTTCTAGAGTTTATATGTAAAAGCTTACTGTGATCCATTGAATGTATGCCCTTGCACTAGATCGATTTATTAAGACCCTTGGATTACCCTCCGATGTACTTGCATACAAATATACGGCAGTATCAATTAAATAGGAAATGTACGGAATATATACGAATAAAATCATAAAGAAGACATTGCCTCCAAGTTAACTGCCTCTTGAATATCTTTAAATAATATTTTATTTAATTATAGAATGCATTTTTTGTTGTGAAAATATTTCTTGATCCGCCACTTACTGCATACAAACTGCGTCAGGTTTTACGAAATGACATCACATCGACAAGTGCATCGCGATCAGTGACTTGTTTATACCTTGCTATGTGGAATTTAACTAAAGACAAAACAGCATTTTATAGTAAGTTTAGATGTAGTTTGATGTTTTCCTATAGTTTAAATAGTAAATTATTTCATTTTGTAGGGTTTTTAAGAATTGTTGGTTTTGTATGATGTCATAGTTAACATTTCCCGTACAAATTAGGCTCCGCCCCCTTTTTGTAGCCTTAACTGTGCTGCGTACTACAATGGCGAAGGACAACACCTGTAAGTACATCTTTGTATCATAATGATTTAATTGATTTTTGTTCTCTTTCTTGTTTATTTGTTTGTTTGTGTTTTGGAGTTGTTGTTTGGGGGGGGGGGGGTGTTTGAACTTTTTTTATGGTATTTGTTCTTTTTCCCTTTTTTTGTTGATCACTAGATGCGAGTTTGCTTCCAAACAACACCAGTGACTTTATTTCCACGGACACGTCACCATCATCAGTCGTAACAAATATTCCAAACAATCAAACTTCAATTTCACATAAAACCGGATCAAAAACACCTGAGTTTAAAGAAATGACATTGTCTCGTTTGTTTACAGACCGAATGCATAATGTAACTCCCCCCACCGTCACTACTGACACCACTGACACTACTCTGTCACTCACTGGTTCTATGAATGACGACACCACCCAAACACACAGTGACTACCCCCACCCAAACACACACTGTGACTACCCCCACCCAAACACACACTGTGACTACCCCCACCCAAACACACATTATGACTACCCCCACCCAAACACACACTGTGACTACCCCCACTGACACCACCGAAACACACACTGTGTCTACCCCCACTGACACCACCCAAACACACACTGTGACTATCCCCACCTAAACACACACTGTTACTGATAATTTCCACACTGATACCATCCAGGCTACCACAGACATGACCACGCCTCAAAACACCTTAAGTCCAATTACAGGTGATAAAAGAAAATACTTGTTTGCTTATTATTTTTTCAGTTTATTAGCCATTCCCATATTTATTCTCCCATGTATTTGTATTCATAGTCGTAGACAGAAAAAAATAATGTTACACTTTCTCCAAATTATGATCAAATTGAGACTGAGGAGAGTGATGAGGAATTCAATAGAGAAAACCCACGCATGCCAAAAGATGACTTTAAAATGACTAATTTTAAACAATGTTAGGATTGTATGTTTAACATCCCACTTCCTTTACATGTTACATATTAACACCCCCCCCCCCCCCAAAAATTTCTTTGTAAACAATTTCTCTATATCTTACATTTGATACTAAAAACTTCACAAGTGTTGACGATTTATAACACACATGAGTTTTTATTGCATGTTAGATATTTTTTTTGTTTGGAATGAATTTTTGACCCTTAATTCCTGTGTTTTCTTTATTCTGTGTGTTTTATTTGTAAGTAAACGCATGATGTGATGGCGATTCAAGTTACAAGTTTATGTAAGTAGATGCATGATAGCGTTTAACCTTGTAACATATATATGCATTGATACATAAAATTTTATTAAAGAAAAAAGGGATGCATATTTTATTTGAAGGTTAAAATAAAATCTTATTCTCTATGGGTAAAAGGAGAATCATTCATCTTAAAAATTGTTAAAAAAAAAAGTTTTCATAAAATTTCAGTATCAGAGACTTTTAAAATTATATCTGAAGATTAAAATATTTATGTATGAGAGAAAATGAATGATTCGTGTTAAGTAAATGTTTAGACTTGTGTGTAATTTTTTTTTTTTTTTGGTGAAATTTCAGTATCGGATGCTTATGGTTTGGGGATTGCCTCGCTTTCCCTATGCCTCCTGTTTGTGGTGGGGTGGGTTGTGCGTTATGTGATGTAGCGTCTTGGATTCCAGTGCAGGCCTCCCGTGGGGAGGCAGCCAGCCCGCCCCATTGGGAGGCCGCCAACCCGTAGGCGCCGAGAGGATCCGGAGGCGGGAATAGAGGATGTAGAGGAGGAGGAACGGCGATATGAACTGAGACCCCGAGAGAAGTAAATGGTATGTAGTGTTTATCATTTATGAGAGTATTCTTTAGGGGAAATACATATCAGTTTCACATTTCTGATAACAGATTTCACAAAACCGATTTAAATTTGTAAATTTATGATGATGGTTAATTTTTGTTTATACTCATATGCGTGAGTATAAAAAACGTAAAATGTAGCACTGGTTTTATAGCTCGTAAAAAGATGTTACTTTTTTTTGCATTTGACAGCTCCGGTCACTACTGCGCAACAAGGAGAAACAATGATACTGTAGTCCAGGATGGACAATGTGATTTTTATTCTTCGTAGTAAAAGTAAATACAGTTTGTATCTTTTTTGTTTCAATTATTGGATTAAAATAAGATGCCTGAATTAGACCAAGGAGGACTTGAATGTATTTTAAAATGCTTATACGTGTAAATCTACCAACATTTCATTACCTGTTATCAGTTTCGGACCACTGAGTCGTAAAGGTTATTATTAATGTCAAATTTTACTTAATAGGATATACCCAGGTGATGATCTGTGTACTTTAAACTATCAAAGATACGTGACACAGAACTGTGTTTCATTGCTTTCTCTCATGAAAGGGACAAATCTGATCAAGGAGTGAAAAAAGCGGAATGATCCTTGGTGCGTTTCTTCATACTAATGTTATTTCTTAGGAATGAAGGGACCCATAACAACTTTTTTTTAACTCCTTTTTAATGTCTTCTTTTTTATGTAAACCCTTGTGTTGACGTCATTCCATTTCCCCTTCCATTCTGTCTGTTCCCCATGAGTAGACTGTAGCGTGACATCTGTCCGTGACGTTGAGAGTCGTTCTCCCCATTCATATTACTGTTGTAGAACATAGGTCATGGTCTATAAATAACAAAAGACCCATTGTTTACCCCCGGTGTATATCTGAGAGTCTAATTGTATTAAGTCAGTCAAGGTCATCGTTTACTACATATGCACTGAAAATCGGTCAAGGTCATTCTAACAATAGATCCATTGTTCGTTCTAACAAAAGACCCATTGTTTACCCCCGGTGTATAGCCACTAATACTACTAATATTTACGAAAAATACCTTTTAGGCAGAGTGACCTCATTAAAAAAAATGATTACACACTGCATTGCGATCGTTTGATGAAGCACGTGCATTATTGAATTAACATATTTTGTTGACTCGGTTGCCGAAAAGGCTACAACGTACACGAAAATTAAGAGGGTACATTGTAATTTTTTTTTTTACGAAGCATTCAGATTTTCCCCTCATCCTCCCATTTATCATACCTCCGATTCTCAGTGGTTTCAAGTTTGGTAAAATGAATCATACTTACCTTGGCAATTAAAATCCTCAGAAGACAAGCGGTGTTTTCAATTATAAGACCGATGGGTACATCCGTTACCTTTGATGTCGATTGACCAAACTGCCTGACAGTAGTACATCACAGGTCACAATGAGTGTATATAAGTATAAGTGAAAAAAGTATCAGTAGTGCACTTTAACACATCATTACACTTCGCTCTAAATGAATACGTTTACCATGCTGCTTTTTTCACTGATTTGACTATCAGTCCAACAGTTACATTGCCAAACACAAAATCGGTGTGGCAAAGATTCACCCCGAGGTTATGATTGCCGGGAAAATCTTTAGGATGACCCGTGTTCCTGCGTGTCCTTTTGTGAGGTGACCGACTCCGACATATTTGTGGAGATCGGACAGGCCACCCACAGGGTGGTGGTACCCAGGGGGCGGTTAAACTTTCTGAATTCAAGAATGAGGATCCTACCTTGTCAAAGTAAGTTTTGTTTTTATTATCTTGTTAAATCTTTAAGAAAAACCTATAAAAATGTCGCATTATTTGAAGTTCAATTATCACTGGTCTAACATTGATCCGCCACTGGAGTTTCCGGAGCAGGATACCCATTTTGTATTGAATTTCATCTATCAAGATGGAGAAAGAGGTAAAACGTCACACAACTGTCGATACAGTTTAAAAATATTTTTTTTACATCTTTTACACTATGAACGAAGCTTTATTTAAAAAGGGAGGGGCGATTTAGGGGGGTTTTAAGACAAAATTGAGCAGAAGGCGCGCAACTGACATTTAACTTCAATCTCTCTTAAATTGTATACTGGACGTGATGGAACAACAATCATTCCGATTCAAATTTCAATTAAAATGAAGTTTACCCTACAATATAATATGTTTTGTTTTTAGAAAAAGAGTAAGGGAATCCCGTTTTTATAGGATACAATCAGACACACATCCTCCAACACATTTGATGTGTGAAAGCTGGAGGGTCAGATAATTGGGTTTGTCCAAAATTCAGTTTAAAAACACCGCTCTAGATCATGACATACCGGCGTGGTTGGATGCACAAAATACTAATTATTATGTAACAGTATATGTGGAATTTAAATCGAGTCATGTGGTTAATTGGGTAACGTTTTTACCCTGGGGAAAGAATATTCACCGATTTACTATGAAAGTTAACTTGTCCTGCGTCCGGTAACCCAATACGGGATGAAAAACACCACGAGGTGGCAAAATTTTGACCTTAGCAATTCCGAAATAAGATAAGATGTCACCAAAATCACCAGTTATATACGCGACGTAAGGATCAACTCCTTACTTCGCGACTCTAGAGAAGACGCTCTAACCACTGCGCAACGCGGGCGACTGTCCTTAATAAGAAAGCCAATACAAAAGGATTGTACCTAACTGCGACGCAATGGAAAAGACTATTACAGTTCATTCCATTAATCAATGACCCAATGAAAAAGTTTCAGTAATTTTGTATAAAGGAAAACAATTGTAGTGAAATCAAAACTTAAATACCTCGAAAGAAAAATTACAAGGATTCTTTTTGAAGATGTATCTATGACATGCAAAATAATATTGAGGAAGAATATATGACAACAAAATAAATCTGATTTTTTACCGAGAAAATAAAACGAATTTAGTTTAGTACGGAAAAAAAACAGTTCCGACTTTCGAGTAAAAAGATGAAAAACCGTCGTATAACCGATAAATGTTTTCCTTTTCATTCCACCTGAATCCATTTTTTACAAAGTATTTCTTTCTATGGAGAGAGAGAAGGAATGTGATGATCTTACAAATGTATAAATCTAAATAAAATAAACATTGTAGACTAACGTAGGAATTATTACATCTTCCTCCTCACTGAAATTAAGAGTGTTAATATTTAAAAAAAATTCTGATTACAGAAAATAATTTTCCATGTAAATGTCCTTAAATAGTGGTAGTTTTAAAATATATGCTGCATGTATACCTTCATGGATGTAGATGTTTATATTTTGGATGTATTTAAAAATGGCGGAGGGCCAATTATAGATGTATTTAAAAATGGCCGGTGGGTCAATTATAGATTTATGACGCAAGGTTGTGCAATTCATAAGATGACATCTGAGCATGCGCCATCTACGGAATGTATAATTAGCAATTCATAAAAAATGACAGAGTAAAGGAGGCGTTTTTAGCAAGGTTATGTTATTCATAAAAAATGACACCTGAGCATGCGCCATCTATCAGAGAAAGTGGGCATTTTTAGCAAGGCTGTATTTGAGCATGCGCATTTACGAAAAAAAGTTGTGTAATACCGATTACTTTATTTTTATAAATAAATTTTTACGTTAGCATAAATTAACAAGAATATATAAAAGTTTCTACGGTTTGAATTATCAATGTGTAAAAAAAAAATGGCAATTAGATTGACACAAAGTTCTCAACACGAAGAAATCCCACAGACAGAAGACTGGGATGAAGAGATGAAGTTTGAACAACGCCCCCCAGGAAGAATGAAGTGGAAAAACGGGGAATATGTTTTTACGTTTTGGATCAAAGATACAGAAGAAGAAAAAAAAAACAAAGAAACGTTCAGTGCCATTACCAAAAAAAAAAAAAAAAAAAAAAAAAAAAAAAAAAAAACCAACGGCCGATTTCACGGCCACCTAATTTTCACGAAAAGATGCCATCTGCAGTGAGAAACGAATGTCAATGTTTGTTGCAATACTTTAAATAATTTTTTTTAAATTTAGAAATAATATCATTAGAAAATCACAGCTTAATGTTTAACTCTACGAGCCATTATGACAGACGTCGTGAATTACATCGTGTGATTCATTGACTTAGTTTATTTCAAAATCTTTTATTTCTTTGTAAATCATGAAAAAAATACGGAAAAATAGTATAGAAAAGATTATGATTAAAATAAGATCTGTTTAAGATGATCAAAATATTTTTTTTGCAAAACGATTTACTTTGAAAAAAAATTAACAAGATTAAAAAATGAATGTATACATTATTTATTACTTTCGATATATAAACTTTGTGTATGAAAGAAACAAAAAGACAAACATGTAAAAAGAATGCAACGTATTATTTCACAATTCTTTTGAAATACTAACAATCGGTAAAAATACATGAATATTTTTAGAAATGATGTACACAAGGATTTCATATAAAATCTGGTGAAAAAAAATTTATCATATCAATTGACCGTCAGAAGAAAAAAAAAAGTACGTTTTTTCCTAAAATTCTATATAAAGAAGGATAGATAACTCTACATACTTTACACTTATATGAGGTATGATAACTCCTCTAATTCCTCGCTAATTTCACTTAGTCTGTTCTCTAACTCCTGTCTTTGATGTTCTAATTCACTCTTTCTTAATAAAAATGTTCTAATTAATTTTTTGTCCTCGTCTTCATCGACATCCATATCTTCCTCTCTGACTTCTTCCTCCTCCCCGTTTTCTTCTACCTCTCCGTCTTCTTCCTCCTCTCCGTATTCTTTCTCCTCCCCGTTTTCTTTCTCCTCTCCGTTTTCTTCCACTTCTCCGTCTTCTTTTTCCTCTTTTCTTTCTTCTGAAGTTTCTTCTTGAATCCTTTTTTGTTTACTACAATTACAGGGAATTATCGATGATAAGATTTTGTAAATGAATTGAGTTGTTAAAGTTGAAGTCTGCTTACAGCTTTTTTAGATAATTTTTCACACTTGTATTAAAAGAAAATAAGTTATCAAATATCCTTCAGTTTATTACATACCTTATAATTAATGCAACTTTGATTTCATCATCATTCTGGAGATCATTCATGGTCCTGAGAAAAAAAGAGAATAAACAAGTTATAATTTTAAACTTTTAAAGTTTGAATTATAATTTGTGTTATATTTTTGAAAAAAATTGTGATTTTATTATAATTTTTTTTCAATTTACCTTAGTGTGAATTCCATCCTAGGTTTTCTTTTGAGTTTTAACAGCCGATAAAAAAGTGGCAGGGGAAGGGAATAAAAGTGGTAGGGAAGGAA